TACGGCGTGGTTTGGTACTCACCCCTTGCTTCTACAAATTTTTGTAGGATACGAGCCTGGATCTTCGTGATACCTGTCATTCTTTTCGTTTCCGAGGCATCTTGTGGAGGATTGTGAGGTAGCTGCTTGTCATGTCAGCGAACTTTCCTACTCCAGTTTTTGACTTTGTTTTTACTTGAAAGACAACTTCATGTTAGACTCCTATTTTATTTCAATTCTAATATTTACATTAGGGGCTTGTGCACGTGACAACCTGATTTTGGGGATTGAATTAATATGACTTGGTTTCATAACAGGAATTGTAGTTGGATTGTCATTTACTTTCGCACTTTGTTAGATATTTGGTTTTAGGCTGACTTGTCTTGGTGGGATAAGACGAGTGCCATCACACCCATTTTTGGGTCGTGACAGGAAATAACAAATAGCTCTCCTTTATTTTAGTTGTTATATTTTTCATCAAATCAACATTTTTAAAAATAATTGACCTATTTAATTCATTAATACTTATGCATCAACGAAATAAATATATAAAGTTATGTAAGAATTTATGAAGATTATAAAAGAAAAAATTTAAAGATCTTATTCCTTCATATTTTTCTACTAAACAAAATTTAATGATTTTTGTGTGTGCAATTGTTACCTAAGAAATTGAAATTTCTAATTAAATTATATGAAAACTTTGAGTAATTATTTTTCATAAAAGTATTCGAATAAATTTGTAAGGTTGACAAAAGAGTTGATAAAAAAGAAAAATTCATGATTTAACTTTGTTTTTGACTTCTATTGCTATTATATTATGTTTTAACTTATCACCTAATTAAACACCAATATATATTCTTATCTCATCACAAATTCATTGAACACAAGTAATAATTAGTTGAATTGCCTATTTTAATTTCGTAGTAAACATATTATATGAAATTAATGTGTTTTTTTTTATAAATAAAGATCAAATTTTATTTTCTAATATAAATATTAGTAACTTTCTTTTTTTTTCGAAAAAGAAATTATTGGTATGTATTTCAAAGTAAATGATTAATTTTTTTTTAATAATAATTTGACGTTTAATATTATCGATCCATTATATAATATATGATAAATTGATTTAAGTTGATATTCATGAGATTTATATATCTAACATTTTTTTAGTATATGCACTTATAAGTATTTAAAATTGATGTTTTAAAAAACTGTTCTTCGTAGCCTAAAAAATCAAAAATTATAATTTATTACTCATTATAAGAGTCTACAAGCAGAAAGCACTTGATCGTGCATATCTATTGACTATTCCTACCCAATAAAACCAGTTTGTTAATTAACTATTCGCCCAGCAAAAGCATGCCCTTTTCTCTACCATGGATCCCATTACCACATAGCAATCTCCAAGTTTTAATTTTGTTAATTAACTTCATAAAATTTTAAATAATAAATAATATTTTTAACTTTGTGACTTAAGTTAAAAATTACATATATCAAATATTTTTAATTTCGTGATATTAAAATTATGAGAAAATTTGAAATGAAAAAGTCAATAAAATAACATCAAAATACGCTTTATATATATATATATATATGACCACACACCAAATTAAAAATTTAAAACAAATAAAGAATTGAATTGTTTCTCAAATTATAACAATGCTACATAAATTAGGACAGAAGAAGTATCATCTCACTTTTAAGATTATCTTCATTAAAAAATTTAGAATATTCTTTTGAAATTAAAAAAAGAAAAAGAAAAAAAAAAAGAAGAGATAATGAAAACAAGTTTTTTAGGCAAATGTCACTTTGTTTTACATTAACTAAATCATATCATCATTTTTTAAGGGTCATCCAATGTATCGACAAATTAAGTTGAACTTGAAATCCCATAAAAGAGGAATTTTAGCACAGTTGCACAAAGAAAAGGATTGGATTATTTTTTCAAAAGAATCTAATTCTCCATCAAGAGTACAATTACTCAAAATTCTTCTACAAATTTAAGGACATTTTTACTAAATACTTCAAGCCTAGTTCTAAAAGAAAAAATATTTCGATCAGACTTGAAGTAGGATATATTTGTAAGCATTAAGTTTTTATTAAATTTAAATTCATAAATTAATTTGGACTATATTAAATTCAAGAAAATCGTTTTAGTTATATGACAATTCACGTCAAATTAAATGAGCCACTAAAATCATGTCATTTGTCTAAATTAAGTGGCAATACAAGTAAAATTAAATAAATCACTAAAATCATGTCACATGTCAAAGTTATGTGGCAATTCAAGTTAAATGAGTCACTAGAGTCGTGTCACGTGTCAAAATTATGTGTCCATCCAAATCTAATTAAATGAGTCACTAGAATAATATCACTTGTACATGTAAAGTTCAAATCGAGTAATCGACCAATCAAATTCCACAGATACAGTACAGCTATAAATAGAGGTTCTCATTATTCTTAGGAGTATTTCAAGAACAAAAAGTCAAAACTCGTATTTTTCAACAAGCTACAATTTATAACGTTCAAGCACTCGAGTTAAAGTTACAACTCAAGATCATGACCACCCGTTCCAAGAACAAGTTTAAAGGCATTTGAAATTCAAGCACAAGTCAAGATCAAATTCACAACTTATGATCAAGACCACCATATTTAAGAATAAGCTCAAAAGTCTTTGAATTACAAGTCGAGATCAATTCCATCAAATTCACAAGTCAAAAAGAAGAATAAGAGAATTCATAGAGATTATAACACACATTAAATTTTGAAATCAAATATTATATTTTGTTACTCCAATTTTTTTTGCCTTGATTATTTATTTTTCTCATATAGTTTACATGAGGAAAATTAAGAAAAAGGGGATTTAAATAGTGCAATTTCAAATTGAAATAAGAAAAAATGAGTTGCATGGAAGATTGGAGAGATTTTTTTTTTTCAGTAACAGTGATTAATATATAGAAGGAAATATGCAGACAACTTATTTTTTTGCCTCTTTTCTTTCTTTCTAAATAGTTATATAGAATAAAATAAATAAACCATGATTGTTACCATTTCAGGGAAGTTGATTCCAAAAGTAACTACACGTTTTTGCTTATTTTGTAAAAAAATAAAATTGAAAACAAAAGTTATATTAACCGTAGATAACTTCTCTATTTATAATAAAAAAAATATAAAAAATAAAAACTATTACTGTCGTCTATTTTTACTACTAGTCTTGTTTTCAAAAGTCAATTTGACTAATTTTAAAACTAAATTAAATAATATTAATTTAATATTTTAAACAAAAAAAAAAATAGATATTCAAAAAACTATAAATTACAAATTTTTCCCTATCAAAAAAAATTATAAATGTTAGTCAAAGTAATAATAAGTTTACTAAAAAAGAAAATTCCTAACTGATTAGGAATCGAAATAACAGGGTAGTTAGAGTGATTGTAGGATTAAGTAAAATTAATTGAAACCTATAAATAAAACCTTAATTTCTTTTTATGAATCCTCCTAATAATAATATTTAGAAATTTAGGGTTGTAGCATGGATATTGAAGTCGATCATTACAGTGCTTTAGATTTGCCCTCTGGCGAGGAAGGGGCAAAGCTTTCTGAAATCGATATATCGAAAGCGTATCGAAAAAAAGCATTAGAATTGCATCCAGACAAGAGACTCGATGATCCAATTAACGCTCACTTCAATTTTCAAAAGCTCAAGGCTTCCTATGACATTCTCAAGGATCAGAAAAAGAGGAGGTTGTTTGATGAGATGATCCAACAACAACAACAAAAACAACAACAATCAAAGTGTAGAAAGATGATGTCAGAGCCTATATTTGTACCTGATATTAGTTTGGCTCGATTAGAAGAGGAGGAACGAATTGCTATAAAACTTCTTGGTGAAATTGCTAGGATTCGTGAAATATTGATGTCGAAGAAAGAGTCATCAGAGATGTTTGTTGACAAGGAAAGGGTGCTTAAGGTATCATGGAGTAAAAGCAGTGAAGATTATACTTGCCAGAGATTGAGAGAGTTATTTAGTAATTTTGGTGAGGTTGAACATGTAATCATGAGTTCGAGTTCTAAGAAGAAGAAGCGTTATGCTCTGGTTGAAATGTTATCTAAAGACCATGCAGCTAAAGCCGTCTCTTCTTGTGTCTTGCCTGGTCTCTTAGTTGTGCCTCTTGCTGGCTTATAATTAGGTTTTTTTTTTTTGATACATTAGGTTTCTTGTATATATATTAATGGTTTAAATAAAGGTTGAACAAGTTACTAATTTTCAGATTTGGAATCTGACATTAGGATATTAATTCCCTAGTACATAGCATAGAAACATAGAAATTACCTTCTATTATCTGAGCATGAGCCAATATCTGTAATTTTCATCAAGCACAGGCTCAAAATTCCCTTCCTGCATAAGACATCCAACCCACAAGTATAAACTATAAACAATGAAGAAATGCATTGATTGTTCAAAGAACAAGCCTGAAGGTGAGATTAATGCCTAATGAATCTGCCTTTACACGTTGAAACCGTGTTTTAGGACAAACGAGCCTTTGTTTAAAAAAGGCATCCTTCAATCACCTTTCTGGGAGGTTCACCACTAGTGCAATGAATAACAAACAGAAGAGGAAGTGATAAATACGACTTTCGTGGAATCAGCATTGTCGTTTTATTGCAAATGTAAGAGTTGATTTCTTAGATAGTCGCGCAACCAATAGTTAGTTACTATCTCCAGAAGTCACTTTTTTTCCCGAAAGAAATTGGAAACAAGAACAAAGGTGAATCATAACTATTAGTTGAGTGATCATCTCAGAAATCTAACCTCAATATGTAACTGAACGGAAGGTCTGCTATACTCACACCTCATTTGACAAATAAAAAGATATTACTGAATCAATAGAAACATTAATCATGTACCTCTGGGATGTTTTATCTGGTTTTCATTTCAATAAGAATTCACGTTCACATCCAAGGAAAGAGAAGCAATTTATGGAGTTGGTCCATAAAAGTTTCTGTTTATAAGCAGTTGAAACGACTTCCTGGAAGAGCTTTATGGACCTAAAGTGCAACATTAATAGTATAAAAAGGAGAACTAGCTTGATCACCGGGAACTAGAACTTGTGAGGTTGAAGAAGAGCAAGCTTACAGCATCAGAATATCCTTAAGCGGGGGAAATTCATCCCAAGAATATGCATGAGGCTGGTATCCACTGTAAACTAGTTGTGGTAATCCTTCACTTGCCACGTAACAAGTGCCTCTGGGCTGTGGAAATATTACAAACATTGTCAATCTGTTTTTCCCCATAGGAACATGTGGTATCAGATTGTCATGACATGTAACATTTAGCATCGATATTAGCAAAGGGGAAACTAACACACTAAAGGGAGAAAGCCAAGCAACAGCATTTTCAACTTGGATGATCATTCATGCGCCAGACAAACAAAAGCTAAAAAATAACACGCCAAAGGGAGTAAAGGAACAAATATTATCACTTTCACTGTGAACGGCACCGTCATGAGCACAGACTAACCTATTCAAATACTAAAAGAGACGCAACATTTTGAACTTGAATAGTCAGTCATGGGCAGAGGAACAAAACTGCCCACAATACAGACTCAGAGTTCGAACACCATCTTTGTCCATGTGCTTTCTCATTACTCTAAAACAAGTCAATGCAGAAGCAATCCAATATAAGAGAATAAAAATAGCATTCAGCTTTAGAATTCAAACTTTACGGTTGTGTGTTTCTTTCCACCCAGTCGAAGCTTCTAAGTTAGAAAGAGAAAAAAACATTAATTCCATCTCCGAGGAGAAAAAACTTTTCTTTATAACGAACTTACTATGGTTTTGCCACAACCCCAACCCCAACAAATTTCTTGGGAGAATAAGCTATGCGAATGAAGTAAATTATTCTGTTTCTCTTTCTAGTAACTATAGGTTTGAATTATCACCCTTGGTCCTTTCCAAACCCTCTCATTCAGGTGGCATTGGAGATCTATATAATGGCAGTTCGTGAAATTTCAGATAAACTATATCAATCTATCACCTATATTTGCACAACGGAATTTGAAAACTCTCAGTCTCAATCAAATCCTCAACCCAAATGCAACATAATTGATTTTCTAACATAATTATCCATGAAATCCTACAATACGCATAGCAATCAGCATAACAGTGTAGGGATCACTTTTGGAGAACAGATTGAACCACATGCACTTGTCAACTTGCCTAAAATTCACCCCTTGTTCTAAAATATCAAAGTGGAAACATTTTACTTAACATGGGACAAGCCCCTCAAAAAACAAAAAAAAACATCACATCACATAAAGGCTGAATATATAAACATATCCCTAGGGTTTTACCCTTCAGGTACCCTAACTACGTCATTTTCCTATTAAATCATTGAACCACCCATAATTTGTTCCTTTTAAACACTATTGACTGATGTGGCACAAAACTTTAACAAATATTTTTTATTGATAGTGCGGGTGAGATCCACCTTTCCCACATAAAAATTGCAACCAATCAAACTTCAATCCATTTACACATTAGCGCCACATATTCATTTACCAACCCTAAAAACCTAAAGCCCCATCATTTCCTCCCCACAAACACTTTTGAATCCACGTGCATTGGTTCTAGATGAGAAAACCCTAAAATTTGGTCTTCTTTCAGTGACATTTATGCGATTTACAACTAAAATTCTCAAATTTTGAAGTGAATTTAAGTGTTTTATTAAAGGTATCATCGAAGATTGCGGAAAAATTTGGAGTTCAATCACGATTTTCGAGTTAAATCTAGTGAGGTAAGTTCATTCCCTAATTTCTATGTCATTTTATTGTTGAAAATATAACTTCGACATTGGAACTTGATGATTAGGAAGGGATCAATGAAGAAGAGATATATTATCATGAACAACTCCAACTTAATGATGAAGAGGAAAAAAGAGAAATAACAGAAAAGGGGAAGAAATTTAGGGTTAAAAGTGGAAGATGATCGTAGGTGGGTGGTTCAGGGATCGACATCAGTGCCTTCAAAAAATCTTCACGCATTCAAGTGACGTGAGATCACATTTTTTGCCACATCATCCAACAATGTTTAAAAAGAACAAATTATGGATAATTCAAGGATTCAATAGGAAAATGACATAGTTGAGGTACCTGAAGGGAAAACCCCCACAATAGTTTGGGGGCATGCTTATGAGTTACATCAAAGTTGTACAATTATAGTCAGACAAGGAAATACAAAGTAGCCTATCTAAAACTTAAAAGTATGCAAGATAGTAGAGCCAGGATTTCCACCACGAGGATTCAAAACATAAATAAGTAAACACACGAGAAGTTAAGACCTACTATTTACAAAAACAACATACCCAATGTATCCCACAAGTAGAGTCTAGAGAAAGTAGTGTGTGGGAAGTCTTACCCCTGCCTTGTGAGGTAGAGAACTATTTTCAATAGACCCTCAACTCAAGTAATCAACATGCAATAATGAAGAAAAGAGCAATAGCAACAAATATGATAACCAAAGCAAAGGAAACACAAGTAATACTAAAATCAAAGAGTGAGAGAATAAGAAAGTAATAATAATGGAAAATTACGCGGTTACGCAAACTTATGCTATTTAAATACTAATCATAGCTATAGTTTGCTATAATTACCACTCGTGACTAACATTATACATTAATTACGTGTGACTTCGAGTTTGTATAATTAGTCACGTTTATATATGTATAATTCACCAGAATATATAAATACATATGTATAATATACAATTGTTTAACCTATATACAAATACAATTCACCTCTTTCCCACTCTCTGCCCTCTCTCGCTCGCCTCTCTTCTCTCTCCCAATCTCGCTTGTCATCTATACAAATGCATATGTATAATATACAATTATTTAACCTATATACATATACAATTCACCTCTCTCCAACTCTCTTCCCTCTTTCGCTCAGTGTTGTGGACGGCGAGAGGCGACAAAAGGCGACAAGGGCCTGCCTCGCCACGCGG